CAGGAGCTAGTCCAGAGCAGAACGGCCTCAGGCGGCCACTCTCCCTCTGGACCTTCATTGCTGCTAAAGGAGATAATCGATGTCCTCCTCCTGCCTTGGAGGGTTTTGGAAGGTTCACATGATACTATCTGTGAGAAGTGACCTTTTAAATTACAGGCTCTGACACAGTATTAACTAGCGTGCTGTATTCTGGCTCCGGAGGTCGGGTCAGCCCAGCGGAAATTCAGCTAAAGGCCCCCGGCCCCTGCCCCCGCCCTTCTTCCTTGGCCGCCTGGCGCCCAGGAGGCCTGCTCTGTGGACACGGGCGAGCAGCCGGCTCCCCGTCCTGCCGTCCCCGGGGCTGCTCTCCCCACCCCACGGCCCAAGCGTCTTCACCACCATCCAGAGCTTCGGGGCCACTCACACCCTGCAGAGATGGCACTCAACAGCCCCTGATCTAAACCTGGATCTAGGTGGAATTTTCACCTCTTTCAGTAAAATCATATACTGTCCCTACACTTTGAAATATGACATACTAACTTAAAAAATTCAGGCATAAAGCATTAAGTTCTACAGCCACTCCTGAGCTCTTTTAACTTCTCAAGCCTCAATTTCCCGCCTGGAGAATGAGGGTGACATTATTCCCATAATGGCACGGAACCTGTAGAGTCAGGCTGGTTAACTAAATACTTGTTGGAGGGTATCACTTGTGAATTATGATCACGGCTAAAATGGTAACAGTCATGAGCAAAGTGCTTGGAGCCACTGACAAATGGAAAAATCAGAGGCCATTTGCACTGGTCATGAAAACCCGTAGAGAAAGACATCACCTTTTTAGGAGGAAGCAAAAAAGGAGGTCTAGTTTCGTGCTAACGCATTAGAAACAACTGGAGTTTCTTCAGTGATTTGTCAGATGCCATCAAATATTTGAAAGCACTTTAAACACCGTGGACACCAGTTCACATAGCAAGTCATGAAGCACTGACCATAATTCTATTTTCGATTTCATGTGGAGGGACAGTAAACACAGACCTCTAGGTAGAGTCTCTGATTTTCGGTCTGCCTAGTACACTGCTTTATTAGCCACCCTTAACATGAAATTAAATGACAGTATTAGTTAAGGTAACACGTGAATGTTTCGTCTTCTTTTTAAACTTGATCTTCTGGGCCTGACTCTAGTTTCTGACAGTGCAGGGCTCTCTTCCATGACCCATGGGCCTTCATAAACTTCTCCATTTTTACTTAACCTTCCAAAACCCTTTCTTAACTTTCTGTCAGTATCACTTTTTTAAAAAGAAAGAAACAAACCTCATCAGTCTAAAATTACTAGAAGAGTCCTTACAATGAACAACTGAACACATAGTTACCAGTCTCAGCTCAAGGGTTAATTCAGCAAGTGCTTAACCACTTGGACACGGTAATCAGAATTCATTTCACATTAAGGAAGCCCTAGAACACAGTATCTCAGACAAGAAACTTCCTCTTACAGATGAGCGCCTGCCCTATGTGAGGCATCAACTCAAGTCTCAGAACAATAACCCAGCTTCAAGAAAGGAAGCCTGGAAGAAAACATCCTTTCCTTCCAACTAGGGGAGAGCCCCCCTGAAATGGCTGAGAACATGCCCTCAAAGTTCTTGAGACCAGAGACGCTGAGTCACTTGTTAGGCTGCTACATAAAATCATCCCCAGGAACTGCTCTTGCTGTTCCACCCGCTTTAGCTGGAGAAGGACCCTTGTCACTCTCTGTGAAATCCTGGCGGTGGTGAGTGTCTCATTTTCTGAGAAGACGTTGTTTCTTTCTGTACTAATATACTAAAAAGAACTAGACAATAAATGACAAAGTCAACATAAATATTAATAAATGATAATAAGGGCCTCATTTGGTTATTAATGTACTTTAGACTGTCAAACAGACCCCTCGTCCTGTTTTGAGATAAAGACACACACGCAGCCCTTCTTAAAATTTTGTCTTACATATATTCCTTTGCTCACTCAGAGTCTGGTAACTATGGGAAAAATTCCCTGTGGTTTTAGGGAGTTTTGGACGCCGTGGTAAGATTTGCCTGTAATTAACACCTGCACACAATTTACACTAACTTCAGTGACAATAAACGGCTATTGGAAGTACACAGGAGTCTTCATTCACTGTTAGAGGAAAAATTAATTCCCAAATTTCTTACAAATTATTTAGGAATCCCATACAAGCCGGTGACTACATTTGTCACTAAGGAGTGTCCCAGCACCGGCTTCTATAGCAATTGACAGCACAGCCTGGAAAGAATTTAGGGAAAGAGCCGGGGTGAGGCACTCTGTGCTCTGGGAAAACTGGCAAAACAGGCTCTCAGTTTTCAGGAAAATCTAAGGAACTCAGATTCCTGCAACTTCCCAAATTCAGAAAAGCACTAAAAGCCTTAAGGGAGACAGCAGCTCCTTCTGACCGGTCGTAACCTCTGCGTGCCTGACCCCGGGCCCTGCTCCAAAGTCACATCCTCGCTGACCTCGGCCCGACCCTCGCCACCAGGACCTCCCTCTGCGCGCTGACCGCCGCGGACACGGCGACCACATGGACACCCCGCCCGCGAGGGAGCGCTGCGGCTGGGGCTCTGGCCGCCAGCCGGCTCTGGAAGGTGGGACGGCGCCCGGGGAGGCCGAGCGCGGCTGGTGGGGGGGACACCTGTCCGCTGCTCTCGGGCCTGAGGCCAGACGGATTTTTCTGTTTTGCGAAGAGCTCGGTCGCCCAGCACGGGAACCACTAACCGGCCCCGGTCCTAAAACCGCACGCGGCGGGGAGTGGGCCGGAAACACCTGGCCCCACGCGGAAGGTTCTGGAAGCCCCGCGGCGGCACAGCCGTCGTCTCGAGTCACGTCCCCCCAACCTCCCCTCCTTGGGGTCTCGCGGTCCCGGCGCTCGGGGCCGCCGGAGGGTGGGGGGCCGCCGCGCCGACACAGCGCCGCGCTGCCCTCCGCGGGGCCAAGGCTGCCCCGCCGCTCCGCCCTCGCCCCCAGGTCCTCGCCCGCCGCTCCGTCCCCGCGCGCCCCCTGCCCCGCACACCTGAGCTCCAGCTGGTCCAGGCTCTCGAGCAGGCGGCTGGAGCGGTCGGCCATGGACGAGGAGCGGCAGAAGCGGCCCTCGTTGGCCTTGGCGCTGATCCTCGCCTGAGCCATCTGCGCCTGGCGGGCGGCCCGAGGTCACCGCCGTCCCCACGCGTCAGCCGTCTCCTCGGACGCGCCGCCCGCAAACCCGGAGTCGGGGGCCGGGGCACCCGGGTGAGGGCGCGAGGGCTTGGCGGCCGGGCTCCGATCGCGCGTGCTGCCTCGGGGGCGGCGCGCCGCGGCGGCTTCGCGTGGCGCCAGGCCCGGCCCTCGCCGCGAGCACGCCCCGGGGCGGGGCCCGCGCCATCCACGCCCTCGCCCCGCCCCGATCCGCGGAGGCCCCGCCCCCAAACACGGCCGGGGCGGGGCCCGCGTCAACCACGCCCCCACCCTGCCTGGCCCGCGGGGGCCCCGCCCCCGATCACGCCCCGGGGTGGGCTCGCGCAAGCCCCGCCCCACCCCGCGGAGGCCCCGCCCCGGGGCCTCCTGCCGCGAGGAACGCGTCCTTCGCGCAGCAGCGGTTCCCGGGCATCTTCCCGAGGTGAGAACCGGTCCGTCTGGACGCCAAAAGCGAAGTCGACAGAGCAGAAGACAAAAAGCCGCCCTATTCAGCTGCGTGTAGGGGGCAAGGTGAACCTCATCGTTTTCATACCCACTCTCATGAAAGCATTTGTAATGACTTCTCTGTTTAAAAGTTATTGGTTGGAATTTGAGTGAAATGATTGCTATTTAAGGCCGTTTCAAGCCCCATTTGTATAAACCTACTGTTAAGAGAAGACCATGGAGGCCGCTCGGCCACCGTGAAGGTCAGGGAGTTGAGTGGTGGCGGGGCAGGAGCACACTTGACTTTGCTCGCGTTTCCTCGTGGCTCTATACCCACAGTAGGCGGAGGGGATAATAACAGTTCAAGGCTGGAGCCCAGCCTTTAATCTGAGATCAAAGTCGAGGTACTTGAACAGAGATGAGGCCCTAAGGCTAGATCCCAGTTCCTCTGAACTCTAATTCACAACTGCTGCAAGGGATCATCTGGCCTCATTAGACATTTTATCGTGTCATGACAAACCTGGAATCCTTAGACATTTTGTGAATGGTCTGAAAGTCGATCGTGCTGGCCTCTCTCACACCTCAGACTCAGAGGACTCCAGCTCCAGAGAATACCCAGGCCCGCCTTCACTCCTACTGGGCCAGCATCCCAGCCCTGCCCTCCCATCTGGTCTGGTGCTGTTTGCACCCCTGTCTGTGCTCAGCTCAGCAGCTACCGTGATCCAGAGTAAGGCACAGCACATCACTCCTCAGAAAACTTCAGCGGCTCCTGAAGCCAAGGCCTTCAGAAGAGGCCTCAGAGGACTCTTGTCTCCTGCTGCCTGCACTAGCCTTCTTACTGCTTGTCTGGATAAGCTCAGTCCCTGCCTTCAGGCCTTTGCTCAAGTTCACTAAGGCCCCTGACCGCTCTAGTACAAACAGCAAGCCACCCCCACCCCCGCCCCGCCCCAACACCGGTCCTTCTCAGCTCAGTCGTGCGGCTGTTTCCTTCCTCCTCTCAGCACTGCTCCCAGGTGTGCGCCACTGAGGAGGTGAGGGCTTCGTTTTGCTCACTGATGTATTTCAAGTGCTTAAAATATTTTAAAACACATTATAGAAATTAGGAGACTTAAATGAATAGTCGCTGACAAAGGTAAGTACTCAATAAATACTTTGTGAGTGAAAGAATAAACAGTTTAAAAGAAATTTAAAAGAAAATAATTGATGGAAAAAAGGAAAGCTCTTTAAGTTGAGGCCTATGCTATGGAGTCTCTGGTTGCCCTGCCCAAGGGAGCCCAGCAGAGTCCTTGCACCTTGTTCTTGGGAGAGGTCTGAGTGGCCAATGGTCAGGAGGACAAGGAGTAGGAAGAAAGGGTTGGGCTGGTAGGATACCAAGCATCCAAAAATAAAGTCTTTAACGGAGGAACTTTTATTTAAGACAATCAATGATACCACCAACCAGATGTTATCAGTACACTACCTATATATCCTTTTTAAAATAAACATTGTCATTCATCATTTCTTTGACAAAAGCAGTTATTCAGGTATAAAAAGGCATCACAATAAAAACTTTTTAAAAGAAAAAAAACTTATCACAGTAAAATGAAAGACGAATAAAAGCAAACAAGCATCGTTGTCAGAAACATTTACTCTTCATAATATTCCCCATTACTCTGTGTAACATCCACTCTCCTCCATATGTCTAAGTTCAAATTATGAAGTAATTCAAAAATGATTTTTAATTTTGTAGTAAGCAGAAATACAATCAGTGACAATTATTAAAACACTAAGCAACCCAATGACCTTATTTTAAGGATCATGATGACTACCCGTCCCCGACTGTGTCACTCTGGTACCATCACACCCCATGAGTGTCCCAGCAACACAGCTGCCCCCGCCCAGCAGGCGCCTCCAGCACAGCCAGCTCCTTCTGGACACCTGTTCAAGCTCCCACTGCTGAGCAGGCTCCCCAGATGTCTTTAAGGTCCAGCTCTGTAACCACCTCCCAAAGCCTTAAACTACCCCAACAAACTAAAAGTACAGGGTGCTCACTTTGGAAAAATGACTAGGACATTCTCAAGCTATGACGTCTACTTAAAAAGCAAGCAGGGAGACAGAACTGACAGCTTAAGAAAGAAAGAACACAAACTGGTTTCCAATATGGACTGAAAAGACTGTAATATAATAAGACAAGTCACACTATGTAACACTAAATTATCTAGTTGCAGAGGAAGACCAGAGTTCTAGCTATGATTTTTTTTTTTTTGTCTTAAAGAAAAATTTATATTTATAGAAAATTTTAAGTTTGGTAAGTAACTACTACTCAAAACTTTTAGGGATGACATTTCTGGTCAAATAACATGAAGTATATTCACAAAGTTTGTATGACAAGCCCCTTCTTAAGTCTTCTAATTATATAACATTTTTTATTATTCATCATAAGGCTTCAACATTTAAAAATTAAATATGTAATACCAACTGTAGGAAATTGACATTTTAATGAATAACTAAAATGAAGATACTTCCATATGAAATAAAAATTTTAAATGGTTAAGGAAGATTACTCCTGAGTAGACTTTCAACATTATTTTCTAAAGAATACTATGTTTACACAAATATATACATATATATAAAAGGACTAATATTAAAAGTATGCCTAATTCTATGCAAAGACTTTTACATCATTCCCTTTAAACAGTAATTAATACAAGTCATATGAAATCAAAGTAGGTAAAAAGAATGGAAAAAGTTTCTTTTTACTACTTTCAAAGAAATTAGGTTGGTTTTCTATTTCATTCCAGCAATGCACAGCTCTAAGTAAAGCAGGACTATACATCTGAGTGAAAGCCACAAAGAACACTGCTGATAAAATTTTTCATCTGTTTTCACCATCAGTTTCCTTTACTCTCTTCTAATAATCATAAAAAGACCTCAAAGATAATATATATTAGTGCCACATAGGAAGTAAAATTTACAGAAAAAATGAGCTATGATAGCTTTATTTGTATTCATTTTCACTCTTAAAAAAAATAAACTAGAATCATCTGTACAGTACAAATTAAAGAACCAGTTCTATTTGGGAAGCATATAAACAATCGTCAAGGGCTTCTTTATTTCTTTTTTTAAAATCATTTTAACCTAAGTATATGAATTCAAGGTTACCTGGGAAACATGATACCTATATTAGAGTATATGATTTGTATTTGCATTAACATATATTCTGTTCCTCTGTACATTTTTGCAAATGGCACAAAAACACAAAGCAATATCAGAGTTTGAACATACAAAAGCAAAAACAGTGTGTTTTCAAATACATTTGTACTAGTAGATTTCTGGTCTCCTTTAGAAAACAAACTCAAGAATTCATCATCCTGAGTTCTCTTCAAGGCCACTTGATGTTGTGTGGTAATACCTTTAGTTACATTTCCTCAAGACTTCTTCTAATAGCTTCTTCTAATTCCACATCTGCATTAAAAAAGAGAATTTTAACATTTACGGCAGAAAACTGATAAAAATGTACTTAATGTAAGTCTCATCAACTACATCTGTATTTTCAGGAAGGAAAGGAAATACAACTTGGAGAAACTGAGGATAACTTGGCAGTTTCTTCATCATAAAATTTGACTGTTTTGAAATATGAGAATCTGGATATGATCTTAAGCTGAATTATAATATATCTGAGCTTAATATGCTAAGAAACTTATAAGTTATTTCCATTTAGGGACACAGAAAGACAACAAACTTCTAGAATGACTGACAGGTAATCACCAGACTCAACAGGGGAAAAAAAGAGTATTTCCAAAAAGATTTGACATAATAAATATAAAACTTACCAGTGGAAAAAGAAAGGCAAAATCATGAAATGGCAAAACCTCAAAAGCTATTAAAATTTTAGTTTTAACTTTTCTAGTATCTAAGACAAAGAGTCAAATTCAAGGCTATGTAATATCCTCTGAGAAGCATTCATTATATATACATATGCACTCACTGAATAAATTTATTGAATGCCCACTGTATACCAGGCACAAAATACAACAGTGAACAAGACAGACATTCTTGGGTTCACTGGCCTTTTTCTCCATTTCCTGAGAATGATGCTAAAAACTTAGAGGGTAATTAGGTGTCAGTTTCTTGGCCTCCACTAGCTTCTCGCACCAGGTGTATCTAACCCTGCCCAGTCCACAGTCTCCTGGGGTCTCCTGGGTTCACAGGCACAGTGATTCCTCTAACATGCAGCCACCCCTCCCTATGAGCTGGGGCACTAGTGTTACATCGTCAGGAATTTAAAACACTACAAGCTACTCTGTGTGAAAGCTAGATTCTAGGTCAATGCGTTGCCCTAAGATGAATTCAAAGGGATGAAGAAATGTACAGAAAAGCCAAGATGCTCTTAGCAAACAAAGAAGAAAAAGGTGACAAGATTTGTTTTTATGAAAACTTATTACAAAGTTATAGTAATTAAGAATGTGGTCCCAGTGCAAGAGGGTTTCCCTGGGGGCTCGACAGTGAAGAATCCGACTGCCAATGCAAGAGATGCAGGTTCGATCCCCGGGTCGGGAAGATCCCCTGGAGAAGGAAATGGCAACCGACTCCAGTATTCTTGCCTGGGAAATCTCAGTCCATTGGGTCAGGTAGCAAAGAGTCGGACACGACTTAGTGACTAAACTACAACAAACCAGTCCAAGAACTGGTGAACAGATCAAAGAGACAGCACAGACAGCTCTATGGAAACCTGACCGATGACAGAGGTGGCCTTGCAGAATGGTGTGGCAAGGTGGGATTTTAAATACATGATGAAGGGACAACTGGTAGGCCATATGGAAAAAAAATAAATTTACCCCTACCTTATGGAAAATACAAAAATACATTTCAGATTTACTGTGTGTTTACTGTATAAGAGCAAAGGAGAAACACAAAACAACAAAGGTGAAAACAAGAACATGGGAATATGTTCAGGACCTTAGTGCAGGGCAAGATTTATTAAACAGGATTCAAAAACATTATGAAAAAGAATGGCACTTCGGAATGCATTAAAATTACTTTAATCCATCAAAAGTGAGAGTGTAAAAAGACAAGACATAAAGAGAAAATATTTGCAATACACACATCTTACACCTAGAAAGATTTTCAACTCAGAAAAATCAGTAAAAAGATAAGTCAAAACTGTCAAGAAATCTGCAAAGGCACTGGCAAAAGATGTCAAAATGTCAAGTAAACATTACTCATCAGAAAAATGTAAATTCAAACCACAAAAAAATGCCTATCAGCAGGTAAAATTAAAAAGACCAATAATTCAATGATTAGTGAAAACGTAGATCAATAGGAGCTCACAGTAACTACTGGAATGAAAAAAAATGGAACAACCACTTTTGTAAAAAACCTTGTCATAATCTACGAGAGCTGAATGTCAACAAGTCTCCACCTCAGTATATATTCCTAGAAATGTGGGAACTATTTGCAACAGCCAACCAAATGTCTATAAGTGATACATGAATTGATTTATGTGTAAAATTATCATACAGGTACTGGAAATGAACAAACCAAAGCTACATGCTAACAATCAGATGAATCTATGAAACAATGTTAACCAAAGGCATTCAGACCCAAAGCATCAGTAATACCGACCATGACTGTGCTGTTCAGTATGATGCACACTGACTGTATGTGGCTATTTGTGCTTTAATTAACTGAAATTAAGTGAGGGGAACTGATCTAGGGAACTGATCACTGTGGGCTGAAGTGTGCCCCCTCAAGATATGTCCTTACCCTGGTACCTGTGAATGTGACCTAATTTGGAAATAGGGTCTTTGTAGGTGTGACCAACATGAGGTCATGAAGGTGAGCCCTAATTCAACATGACTGACGTCCTTATTGGAAGAAAACACCACGTGAAGATGGACACGCAGGGAGAAGATGGCGCCAGGACGGACGGAGAGACACACAGATGCATCTACAAGCCCAGGAATGCCCACTGTAGGGTAAGGGGTCAGAGACGGCGAGGTTCAGAGAAAGCGCAGCACTGCACAGGAACTGCTCGCCTTTAACGCGGTGAGAGGGGCGGCGTCAGAGTAGGAGCTGCTGCACCAACCTGAGAAAAGAGGAAGTATATACAGGCATGTATGTGGAAAGCTGCTGTCTTAAGGGGGCCTGTTCTCCAAGGCTGTTCGGAGTATTATCTCTTATGAACAGCTGGGGCAAGGAATTCTGGAGACTGGCCAGAGGCTGGACCAGCTGGGAGCTGGGTGTAATCAACCTAATGTCCATTTTTAATTTGGGTGAGAGTTCTTTGTTTTGCAATAGAATGGTGGGGAGGACCAGGAGGGTCCAGGACCAGGCTACCTCGAGCCATGCAACTTTCCTTCACCTACAGTTGACATTAACCACCAGACTCTGGGAGCAGGACCATGGCCCTACCAACACCTTGACCTGAGATGGGTGAACTCGACAACTGAGAGACAAGCCACCTAGTTTGTGGCACTTAGGTGAGCAGCCCCAGGAAATCAATCCGCTGGCAATACTCTTTTTTAATCTGAAAGATGGTCACCTGTTTTGTGAGATGTTTTATACAATTTCTGTGTATATTATATACACATATACACACAGAGAGAACCAGAAATCTGGAGGACCAGCATATAAGTTGGGGAAAAGGATCAGAGCTGAAGTGTTCCAGAGTCCATTTATTGTTTCATGGAGGCAGACAACATGTACATATACTTTACTCTTTAAATTACATATAAAAAATGTGATAAAATGCCAAGGTAACCAGAAAGAACAGAAACAAACACACAGCATACACACCAACTGGAAAAAACAAAAAGAGGAAGCTAAGAATGAAATAGCAGAAGTAAATACAAAAACATTAACATCTACAGTGAACTTACAGGAATTAAACTTGCCAGTTAAAATGGATAAAAACGAAAGCAACTAAATGGTTCCACTTCCAATAACAGTAGAGTAGCTTATATTGGATTAATTCTCCCCTAGATAACAATTATAAACTATTTTAAGGCACTAAAGAACAGCAAAAATCAGGTAGAAACAGGACAATTATTGAAATAAATGAATTACACAGGGCTAAATATGCAGCTTTACGCTTTGTTTTGTTCCTCTTTTGCCTTAGGGCATGCCTACATCCCTGGGAAACCAGACTCAAACTGAGGAGTCAGAGACAGATGACAGAGAGGGTGCGAGGGGGAAATGGTGGCAGCAGGGCAGGAACGGCAGAGAGAGATCCCAGCAGAAATGAGAAAGTAATAGAAGAGAATCCTCCAAATCTACAAATCCTTGGTTGACTTCTGAACTCTGCATTCACGAGAGAGGACCCAAGATTGTCGGTGAGAGACAGCAGTTGGAAAGCTAAAAGAAGCAAGCGACTGTTGCCTGCTGTGGCAGGGAGAGTTTGGTGTCCGAGTCCAGCAAGTTAACTACCTACAAGAAAAAAAAAAATTCCTCAGAGGAAGTTAACAGAATTCTGAGAATCTATAATTTACATCACAAACATCCAGCATACATAAAAAATCATGTGACTTGCAGATAAACAAGAAATGTGAGGCACAGTCAAGAGGAAGAGCAGCCAAAAGAAACTGGCCACCAAGATAATCAAGCTCCTGGAATTAGCAGAAGAGAGATTTAAGAAAAGTTAAAAATATTTTTAAGGACATAAGGTTAAGTGGATAAGAAATCTCAACAGAGAAATAAAAACTATTGAAAAGAAAACTAAGCAGAAAAACTAAGCAGAAATTCTACAACTGAGAAACACATGTTTGAAATCAAAAACTTACTAAGTCAGCTTAACACTGGAGGTGGTAAAGGTTGAACAATAAACTTGAAGACTGAACAATAGAAATCAAATATGAAGAAAGAGAAAAAATACTGGAAGAAAATGAGAAACCTGTGGATAAATCTAAACCATCTAACATGCATAACTGGAGTTCCAAAAGAAAAGGAGACAGAAAGTGGGACAAAAAAATTGTGATGAAATAATTGGGGGAAACTTATAAACTTACAGATATATGAAGCTAAGAAAACTCTAAGTAGGATACAAAGACAGCTATATCTAGGGACATTATCAAAAACTGCTAAAATCCAAGGACAAAGAGGAAATATTAAGAGCAGTAAGAGGAGAAAAATGACATATTTGCATATAGGGGAGTAATAATAGAAATTATGGCCATTTGTCATGACAAACAGAGGAGGCCGGCCACAAGACAAGGAAATGGAGCTCGAGCTCTAAAGTGCTGAAGAAAAAACACCAGTTAACCAGAACTCTAAAGCCAGAGAAAATATACTTCAAAATTAAAGGGAAAATAAAGATACTTTCACAAATGAAAACAGAGCATTCAACACTAGCAAAAACTGCATTACATTAATATAAAATAGGACAGGAAATTCTTTAGGCTGAAAAAAACAGAACATCAGATGGAAATTGTAATCTAGTGGAAAGAATGAAAGGTCATTTGAAATGG